GCTTTATTAAAAACACCAAAACCAAAGAAGAGTGAATAACACTTTTTTTATTTGGTGTAAAATAGTATATTATTCCCAATATAATAATTAAAATTAATAAATTGAATTTTTATGAATTTACCAGAAAATGAATGTTTAAAATATTCCTTTAACGACTTTTTAAAACAAATAACTTTCAAGAAAAATGATCTACCTGTAGAAGATTTAGGAGATTTCGCGTTTTACTTCGTGGTTGAATGGTTGAAAAATAGTTATTCCTCACTCAATGAAAAAATTTATACTGAAAATGACTTTAAAAAAGTAATTGAACTTATTTCCCCGCAGAAGATGGGGACAATAACGCTCTTTGTGGAAGGAAGGGTTGCAAAGATATCTTGCCTAATCATCCTCATTCAAAAAAAGTAAAAAATGAGAGAAATTTATCAATAATTAATTTCTTAAAGACTATATTCTTCAGTGATAAGTGAGATGAAATCAATATGAATGAAAACCCTTTCGAAAAGAAGATTACTCAAGATATTTATTCAATAGCAGATGACGAAAGTAAGGGGGTTGAAAAAAATTGAGAAATTTGTTTGACGTTTCTTCCTTATGTCAAAAACATTGAAAAATATCTTCTTCGTTCACCAAAACTCAAGCATTTAGAAGAAGAATGAAGAAATCAAGAAAAAAGAAAAAAATGACTAGAAGAATATGAAGCTTGAGAAGACTATCAAGAAGCAATAAAAGCAATCGAAAAAAAAACTCTTTTTTCTTCTCCTGCCACTTGAATATCAATAGCAATAGTATTATCACTAGCAGTAATCGGGTGGGTTTTTTACCGCTGTAGAAAAAAAACTAAAAAAGAAAAAAACTAGTTTTTGATTTCACAAAGAAAAAGAATTTTTTCCTAATATTGACCCAAAAGAAACTTATAACAAGTAAAAAATTTTAATAAAATTAAACAATATAAATTAAATGCCGTTAGCCCAAAATATTATCAACTCAAAATATCCTTTTTTTAGCCAGAGGAAAGAGAGAAAAAAAATAGATGTCAGTTCCGGAACCTTACAAAAAGAGGGGTTATTAAGAGGCAACGAAAAATTAGAAGGCGAATTAGACTTGACCGACTTCACCAATTTAGAATATTTAGACTGCTCGAACAATAATATCACTAAACTAGTAACAAATTCTCCCGCTCTTCATCATTTAGATTGCTCCCAAAATAATCTTTCCGACTTGGATTCAATTATCGGCGATTGAAAAAAATTAACCTTTCTGAGAATTTCCAACAATAATCTGTTTAATCCCAATGGTTGTGATTTGTCTATTTTCCAAAAACTTGTTAATTTAGAGATATTAGAAATCGGCAACAGCAAGCAAGAGATCCAAAATAAACACAATTTCTTTTTCGGCTCTTTATATCCATTAAAAGAACTGAAAAAACTAAAACTTCTCGACATTCAGTCGACCAACATTGATAGTGGTTTAGAATCCTTACCTCCCAGTTTAAACACCATTATTTGTTACAATGACAAATATCCCACCGCGGCAGTCTCAATTATTAAAGAAGCCTTAGAACCTTTTAATTTCCAAATAGACAAATGGAGAATAACTCACGGATTTCAAGGGTCTGATAATCAAACCATCCCCCTTTCCGAATCAGAACCAGCCAGAACAAGAATAAAAGAATTGGAAGAGTAAGTAAATTTACAAGCAGATATATTAAGGGGTCTGCCGAAAATAATAGAATTACCGAACTATGAAGAAAAGGCGGTGCAAACCGAAAATAATATTTTCACTCAAAAAACAACCGAGGAAAAAACAAAAGAAAATTTGATTAAAGAAGTTCAGGAAAAATTTGGTAGTCTGTCGACAGCCCTAGAAATTCTTCTCGACTTAAAAAAAATTTCTGAAACCGCTGACCAAAGTGAGGAAATCACTCAAATACAAGTTCTCCCCCATTCCTCTCATAATAATTAAAAAAAATAATATATGCTAAAAATTCGTTTGAGTTTACGAGGAAAAAGAGGTCAACGTTCTTTCCGGATAGTAGTAATTGATAGCCGAAGAAAAAGAGACAGCGGCAGTTACGTAGCCGATTTAGGATTTTATAATCCTCACACCAAAGAGACAAAAATAGACCGGGAAGGAATTCAAAAATGAATAGGTCAGGGTGCTCAACCAACTTTAACTGTTCAAAATTTGTTCAAAAGATAAAAAAGGAAAAGCCAACTAAAATATTAAAATAAGAATTTATAAACCATGTTAAACATCAGCGAAAAAGAAATCGTAGTTCAAGATATTAAAAAAAATTTTCAGCAATCCCACGCAGTAATCTTTTATAATTTTCACTGGATGAAAAATGAGGATATTTTTCAACTAAAAAAGGAACTAAAAACGGCAGGCGGAAAGTGAAAAGTTTACAAAAACAGTTTAGCAAAAAAAGCTTTTTCGGATTATTCACTCAGTTTACAACAAGCTAACGCTTTTATTTTCTGTCAAGCAGATGAATACAAACCACTTAACATTTTGGAAAAATTTAACAAAAATTCACCTCATATTGCGAGGTTTCAAGGTGGAATTTACAATCAGAACTCAGTAAACGGTTCGGTCTTAGAGAAATGAGCTAATCTACCAAGCAGAGAAACGTTAATTAGTTCTTTCTGTTATTACTTGAATTGGCATACCCACCGATTGATTAATATTTTAGGAAAAATTAACGAAAAAAACATCTCTAATTAGTTTGCTACAAAAAGACAAGAGGAAGACAGATTAATTTTTGACTTTTAAAAAAATAAAATAATGACCGTTAGTTACGAAAAAAAAAAACAAGGCAAAATCATAAAAAAAGTTGAAAAAGCGACGAAAACCCTTCTGAGGTTGACGGTTCTGATTTTATTCTTTCACTGAAGATTTTTTACCAATGATAAAATCGAAGAACACGTTGGTTATTGAGAAACGTTAAAGAAGGATCCTATGAGGGCCATTCTGATTAAACCTTCTTTTAGTATAATCTCTCGCTTTATTAAGAACAAATACACTAGGTTTTTTTTAGAAACCGCTCTTAAAGCACTAGTATTTAAATTAATTTCAGATTATATTAGTTACTCCTTACAGTCTGCTATTAATCAAAAAGAACTCACAAATTTATCTGATCCTTATTTAGATGAAAGGAAGATAAAAAAAATGGAGAAAAAATTTCTGCTTTGGTTGAAACGTCTGCTACTCAACATGTTGTTTTCGCTGACTTTCCATATAGCCCTCTCTTTTCACAACTATGTCTTTCAAAAAAAAAAAGAGTTACCACTGATGAAGAGAGAGTTAACAATTTTAGAATTAGTTGGGATAAACGTTTGCTTTCAACTCTTTCTCAGAATTAGTCAAGAATTTATCCATCAGCGAAGAATACTAAATAAAAAAGAAACGAAAAATTTTTTGGTTAGAGAGTTACCATCCTTAATTGGTGGAAATTTTGTTAACATTTTTCTCATGCCTCGTATTTTTCGTCTTTCCTATGAAAGAGACCTAGGAGACGTTTCAATCATGACAATCAGAACAATGGTTGATTTTCTTATCAGAGTAACATTAAACTATTATTTTTTTTCACCTAAATCAGCAGGCGATAACAAAAATTCAAAAAATAATGGTGAAGTTGATTGAAAAAACAAAATTATCGAACTCGAAAAACTAAACTTTTAGAAGATAACTTTTACAAGTAAAATTAGCGAAATTAAAAATGACGATTCTTGCCCGACTAAATGTCAAAAGAGAAGAATTAGAAGACAAATGTAATTCTTTAACTCATTCTAGCGTTCCAAAAACTATTTTACAAAATAAGATAAAAACACTTAATGAGTTAATTAATGCTTACGGTTCAACTAATCAACCAATAACTTTAACAGAATCTGAATTAATACTCAACCAACAAGTAGGTTTCGACGAACAAAAAAGGATAATCCTAGAAAAGTTAGAGATTACTGAATTTTGAGAAAAGAAAGGAGTTAAAGAAAATCCTTTAATTTTATGTTTAGTGGGACCGTCCGGCGTAGGAAAAACTACTTTCGCCCAAATAATCGCCCAAGCCCTGGGGAAAAAATTTTTCTCGGTAGCATTAAATGGATTATCAGAAACCTCAACACTTCTAGGCAGCGAAAATAATTCGCCCGCTAATAACGAGGGGCAGTTGGCTCAAGCTTTAGTAGAGACTAAAACTTCTAACCCAGTAATCTTACTGGACGAAATTGATAAAGCCAGCCTTCCACTTAAAAATTGCCTACTGAATATTCTGGACCCTAAACAAAACCACACAATCTTAGATTACTATCTGGATGTCAAATTAGATTTTTCCCAAATAACTTTTGTGTTAACAGCCAACGAAACCAAAAGTTTTCTTCCTTCTCTCCGTGACCGCATGCTGATTATTGAAATACCAGGTTATAACGGAGAACAAAAAAAAGAAACTGCTAACAAGATTATTCAGCAATGATTCAAGAAAAATGGTTTTAATCACAATAATTTAGAAATCACTGCTGATACTCTCGAAATTTTAATTAATAAAACCCAAGAAAAAGGAGTTAGACAACTAGAAATGGCACTTAACAGAATATTTGATTACTGCCTTTTACAATGGTCTCGCCAGTTAAAAGAGGGCGGGAGAGAAAGCAAAATAATTATTACTCCTAGTTTAGCAAACCAAATAATTCCTCATAATTTTTCTAGTTCGGAACAAGAAGAGGAGCAAAGAAAGAAAAATGACACTAAAATTCAAAATACGGAGAGTTTATGATTTTTTTTGTTCGTCCTGGGATTAACGACAGGAGGAATTTTGAGCATATTCAATTCAAATAACTCTAAGACTTCAAAAACAGTCGCAATTTCTCAAAAAACACCATAACAAATCTAAACATTTTAACTTAATAAACTCTTTGTTTCTTCGCTCTAAAAAAAGCCCAAGACCTCTTAAAAATTAAATAAACGCGGAAAGAACTAAAAAACTAAAAGCAAATAATTAGAATCCCCATAAAAAAATGACAGACAAAAACTTTTATGAAATTTTAGGAGTAAACCAAAACGCCACCGAAACTGAAATTAAAAAAGCCTATCATCAGTTAGCCAAAAGCCTAGCAACTGACAAGTGAAAAAGAATTTTACGAGAAGAAGAAAATTTTGACTGTCAAGAAGGTAAATGTAGTATAGTTCAGTCCGGAACCCAAGAACCTTATTTTTGTTCTGGTCCGGATGGTCTTTGCGCCAGAACTTTTCGCCGGGTAGATAAGAGGTGAAAAAAAATTTCAGAGGCTTATAACACTTTATCTGACCCCCTTGAAAAAAGAAGATACGATGTGAGATTAAGTAAAGAATCACAAGAAGTTGAAGTTTTTAACAATTCTTCTAGTTCTTGAAGTTCAGATTTTTTTGATTTCGAAAAGGAAAGGATAATTAGTAGTATAGACTCAGAGTTTAGGGTATGAGATGAGATGGCAACAGAAAGTGATTTGAACCCTGATTTATGGGTTCCCTATTCTAACTGAAGAGAAAAAGCTGAAGATTTAACCACAGAACAACTGAAAAATTTTAAATCACAGTTGATTTCGGCTTTAAAAGAAAAAATTGCCGAAAAGAAAAATGTTTTTATTCAAAGAATTGAAGATTATTTAGCAACTTATGTGGCAGAGGGAGTTTTGAAATTAGAACAAATTAGTTGAAAAAATCGTGGTTGAAAAACCCACATTGCTTCAATTTGAAAAATGGAAGATTTAGTCAAGAAAGAAAGAAAAATAAAAAAAGAAGTTGAAAAAATTGTAGAAACTAATCGTCACAATATCCAAAAAGCAAATTTATTCATTGAAAAATTCAAAGATCACTGAAACGAAAAAGCCACTGACGGAAAAATTAACGGCAAAACCCTCGAAGAAATGCTAAAAGGCACATGGAAAGAAATAGAGGAAAAATTTCTTCTCTGTGCCAGCGAAGGCGGCAACATGCTTAATATTTATTATGATGGAATTGTTAATCAAATCAAATGAGAATTAGTAGGAGAAAATAACAAAAGAGAAATAGAAGAAAATCGTAAAAGAGAAGAGCTTGAACAACAAGAATTAGAAGGAAGTATTTTAGAAGGGGGCTGAAAGGGCGGATGAACTTTTTCCGACACCGAAGAAGGAGAAATTCTTAAAATCAATGGCGACAAAATTAAACCTGATAATGAAGAATACCAAGAAATTAAAAGAAGAATTATCGATAAAATCAAAATCAATATAGAAAAATGAACTATTTGAGGAGGAGTGATTGTGGAAAGTTTGGAAGGAGAAAAACATGCTTTATTAGTTCACGAAAAAGCAAAGTTTTTTTGAAAAACTACTAAAAGAGTAAAAGGAAAATTAATTTTAAGCAAAGAAAATCATGGTAGAATTCACTGAAAAAGTGGTTTTACTAGGAAAGAATGGAAAGAAATAGAACAGGCTATGGATTATAAAATTCAAAATGAGCAAGCAAAGCAAGAGAAAAAAATGGGGTTATCACTTCTCACACTACAAATAAAAAAACGAGAAATATTAGTAACTGTTACTAATTGGCTCGCTTCTCTTTCTAACTTTTTTCTTTTTCCGGAAATATAAAGGGAAAGAAAAAGCACAAAAAAACAAAAACTAACGAAAAAATTTTTTTTAAACACTTTTTTTAAAAGTCACTTTCAGCGGCAAATATTCTAAACCAAAATTTTTTCGTAAGTAGTTGGTTACGTAACGACGATAAGAAAAATGAATTAGTTGCGGATTGTTAACAAAAAAAACGAAATGTGGAGTTAAACCAAAATTTTGCTGCTTAGCAAAATAAATTTTCAGTTTGTTGTCCCGAAAATAAGGTGGTGGATTGTTAACAACCATTTTCTCTATAATTTTTTCAATTTCCTTTTTAGTAAAGTTCTTGCTACTATTTTTTAAAACTTGATTTAGAACAGTTATCAAGTTGCTAATTCCAGTTCCCTTTTGGGCCGAAAGAAGAATAATTGGGCAATAATTTAGGCTTTTTAAGCGGTTTTTTAGTTCCCTAATTATGGGGGTTTTGTCATTTATTAGGTCTACTTTATTGACAATTAAAAAAAGAGGTTTATGGTATCTCTCTCCCCACTGGATAATTTGAAGAGTTTGTTTGACCAAGGGTTGACTGGCATCAATTACCGCTCACAATAGGTCGCATTTTTGTCCCAGGTTATGTTTTGGTTTTTGTTCTTTGGTGATACCGGCGGTGTCAACTAACTGAAAATCAATTTTTTTTCAGTTTCATTGGCTAATCACTGGTTCTTGGGTGGTTCCGGCTAAAGGGGTAACTAATGAACGATTTTCTTGAAGTAGATAGTTCATAAGGGTAGACTTACCAGAATTAGGAGGACCAAAAACAAACACATTTAATTTTTCTTTTTCTACTTCCGGTTTAGCAATCGGGGAAGTAATCAAATCTGCTATTTTATTTAACAGTTTATCGATGTTTATTGTTTTTAAGGCCGAAATAGGAAGAAAGTATTCAGATTTGAGTGTTTTGTAAGAAGAAAAATCTTCTTCTGGACTTGCCAAGTCTATTTTATTACGAATTAAAATTTTGGGGATTTTAATTTTTTGCAACAATTTTTTTATTAAAAGAGTTTCTTCGGTTATTTCTCCTACTAATCAAAGAATTAAGTCACTTCTTTTTACTATTTCTTCTATTTGTTTTTTACTTGCTTTTTCGATTTCAGTTGAGGGGCGAATCTGAAAACCGGGAGTATCAATTAACCTATAAGTGTTATTTTCAATTTCAATTAAGTTCTCGGTGTAATTAACTGCTAGTTTTTTTTTAGTTTGATAATAGAACTTAGTTGGGGAATATTTCTTGACTAGACCACGAAAAAGTGTTGTTTTGCCTATCCCTTGTTCTCCGTATATAGTAATGATTTTCAGCATTGGTGTTTTTTTTATAGTTTATCGTAAGTAGGATTCGGAAACTGTCATAATATAAGTTATTTATTAAAGGTTTTAAGTCACTGTCAAACTCTGATATCTTTGTTTGCAAAAAACTTAACTAGCCGAAACATCTTCATCTCAACTTCGGATCAACTAAGAAAAAACAAAATCTTTCTGAAGTTAGAAACACAAACAAAACTCTTTTGACTATTTAGGCAAAAGAGTTAAATCATCTTTAATTGCTTCTCTAAATTGCGGTCGCATATGTTTTCAATTCACTAATTCAACTTCAAAGGGTAAATCTGATTCTTTGAATTCCTCTTCGATTTGAAAAGCAATTGCTGCTGGAATATTTTCTTGATAACACAAATCTAAATCAGACAAATTTCTCGCTAATCCTTTAGTGCGGGAACCGTAGGCGTAAAAATGATAAGGGTATTTAGCAATTATTGACTGGATTATTTGTCAGTGTTTATTTTCTAACTGGAGCATTCAGGTAATTCTTTTAATTTAGTAATTAATAAGTCAAGGTGATGGAGAAAGTTAGGCAAGGAACTTAAAATTTCTTCGGCGATTTTACCATCATAAACGTGACTGGTGGAATTTCTTTTCTTGGCAAATTCAAATCATATTTCGGCACTGGGAATTAAACCTTCTAAACCAGCTAAACGAAATATTTCTTTGGGGGTAGTATGAACTTCTGCTGCTCGAAGTAAGAGAACCTTTCTAATAGTATTTTTGGCTAATTCATAACAAACTTCAAAAGCTTGAATAGCACCGGCTTTTTCGTAATCATTACGAGCATTCGTAATTATCTCTGCTAAAAAGTTTCGAGTTGAGATAAGTGGACTAATATTAATTATCTCTTTATTCATAATTATTTTTTTAGTCCTTTTTCTTTGTTTTTTCCTAATTGTCCATTTAAGGGAAATATTAATTTTCATTCTCGACGAACATTTTTCAGTAATCTTCGGAGTCCCGCGTTTCTTAAATAATCTTTTTCTTGAGTTTTTAATGTCATAAGTTTGCTATCCCCCATTATTTTAAATCACTTTTTGGCAAAAACTCAATAAGATGTTAATGATTCCTTTCCCACTCTTCTAACATTCTTTCCAATACTTCTACTAATTTCAAATTAGTTATTAACTTATATTTTTATATTGGTTACAATAAATTTTTTCTTTCGACAAGATTTTTTTTTCTTTTTTTGTTGCAAAGTTTCTATTGCTTCTTTACTTCTTATCAATAGAAAATATTTTTTTGTTTCTGTTTTCCCCTAAGTTGGAGGAAAATTGATTTAAAGTTCCTAATTTTGTTTGAAACTGGTTTTTCTTCTTGGGTCAGTATCTTTGCTATTTTTCAACTTTTTTGTCTTTTGTAATCAATTTTCTACTCCGATACCAACCGCTCCAACTACTAATGTTCCTGCTATAACCAACACTGCTATTTTACTTTTGCTTCAAGGTTTGCTTTCTGGTTGGTCAATATCAGCCTCTTCAGAAGTGTCACTACTTACTTCATCCTCCAATGCAAGGGGATTTACTTCTTTTGTTTGTTCTTCTTCCTTAGGTTCTTCTTTATGAGGAGGGGCGAGGGTATTTTTACGAGCCGCTTGGGCGTCTTTGAGGTTTCGGATATTACGAGGACCAGTTAATTTGTTCGGATCTAAAATATTAATACTGGCAGTTTCCGCTTCTACTTCGGCTTTGTTTCTAGCTCTGTTAATTCGGTTCTGAATGCCATCATATCTTCAATTTTCTGCGGCAATTTCGTCTGCCTGGCGAGTTCGGCGATAATTGTTTAGGACATTTCGTTCGTTAAAGTTATAATTTTTTCCTTCGTAAACAAGCGAACCCTCTTGGTTTAGTTCATTAGCTTTTATTCCGGCTCGGTAAATCTCAGCGGCTCGCTGACCCGTGTTAATTTTTCCATAGTAAGCCATGATTTCTTTCACGGGAATATCATTTACATTTATTTCTTGCGCAAATTCAGTAAAGAATTCGTCTTTGTCTCCGATACAATCACTAACTATTTGCTGAATTTTTTCTTGCCGATTATTTAATTCATCAAAATTTTTAGCAGTTCTTAAATATTCTTCTCAATTATTAATATTGAGATTAATTGACAATTGACTTGCGAGTTCTTCTTCTGTTATCAGAGAGTTTTTTCTTTTTATTTCATTGATTATCAATTCTTTTTTGCTGGTTTTCATGCTGATTCATTTACCAAGATACCGGGCTTGACCTGAGTGGTGCGTATCGTTTTTAGCAGCAGCTTCGTTTTCTGCATTTCAACAATTATACGAGTATTCGCAAGCCTCTGACGGAGGATAACCCTTTTGGCGTCATTTTTCTGCTTTGCTCCTATTATCTTCACTATCTGGAAGATAATCAAAACTTAGGTGTTTTGCTCCAAATTCTGTTCAAAAATTTTCTTTGTCTAAATCGTCTTTTTTTAGTTCGATAAGTAATTCCCGAAGAGAATCGAGTTCATCACCGCCTCATCCATAACTACGGTAATTGTATCTTCCACCTTTCGTTATTTCAATCTCTCCTATTCCATCATCGGGGCTATTAATAGTTAAATCAGTTCAGCCATTACCTCAGGCTATATCGGCTTCACTATCTGCTTTTCCTGGCAAATTTGCAACTGGGTTTAAACCACTTTCTATTCAGGCTGTTTTTTTGGCGGTGGTGTTAATTGCTGGGTGAATTTGGAAAAAGCGTCTTCAGAACTCCTGAATTTCCCGAATCTTATTTTCTTTTCTTTCAGTTATCCTATTTTTTAATAGTGTTGGTAGTTCATCTGGCACCTTGATATTTTGCATTTTTACAGGATTTTTAACATTATTAATTCTGTTAGTTAAATCTAAGAAAGTTTGTGTCTCTAAGTAACTTACTTCGAATAATCTTATTCTCAAAAAATTCCTCCTAGTTTCTCCCGCAATTATTTCTTCGTAAAAGTAATCAATTTCTCCATGGCGGGAATTTTCCACCGCTATATTGGGGTCAATTAAATACTCGTGCCAACCATTTTGTCAGGCTAGTTCGGTTTGCGGCAAAATTTCTGGTCGGTTACTTGTTGGCAAAAGTTCGGTTTGTTTTCATTTTTTTTGGTGATTTTCGTTTGTAATATCTTTTTCAGCAAAAAACTTGTTCCAGGCTACAATTTTCGGAAGTTCTTTTATAATTGCTAAAATTTCATTTTTTCTTGTTGTTTGGTGATTTTGGTTTTCAAATAAGCAATATCAGTCATTTTCAGGTCCGGGTCGTAATTGCAGTTCATTAGTTAATTCCTTATCAGTAAGTCCTCGGGTTAATAGTTCTTTTTTCAGGTCACGAATATACTTCAAATTTTGTTTTTTGTTTCGCTGTGAAGAAAAAGTTGCTGAATTTTCTAGTTGCAGTTGAATAATGTTTTCATCACTTAATTCTTCGCTTTTTAATTCTTCGAGTTGGTTAGCTTTTTTAACTAACTTTCATAAATTTTTATATTTATCTAAGTCAATTAGGCGTTGGGGCAAAGAATTATTGCCAGCGTTTTTTTTGGTGCTAGGAATGTTTGTTGAAGTGCTTGCTTCGGGTGCTTGGTTTTCAGAAATGTTAGTCGCTTCATTCTCGTCTAGGACTGGTGTTTGAGAAGTTTTTTGATTGTTCTTTGTGACATCACTACTTTTGACTGATTCCGGAGTCTCTTTTTTGTCGTCTACAAAATTTTTGTCACTAGTTCTTTCCTCGGTTTTTGCTAAATCTGGTTGTTGAGGAAACAAATCGGTAAAAACTGTATTTTCCCCTAATGCTTCTACTTTGGTTGTCACTTCCTCTTTCAATAACTGAGCGGAATTTTCTAAAATTTCCTGGGCTTCAGCGGGTTGTCCACTACCGCCCTTTAAATGCCCAACGTAATAAGTTGGTTTTGACTGAAGCGTGCCTTGGCGAAAGTATTATTTCTAGACCTTTGTCAGTAGTAGCAAATATTGAACATAATTCTAACGCTTTTTGTTTTGGAGTGCTTATCCTCATCATTTCCTTCTACTTCTGTTTAGGGTGAAGAAAATTTACCGAAGCAAAAAATAGAGTTTTTTATTGAACCAGACTAGTTTATATAAGTTGCTATTGCGTATCAACAATTAGTTCTTGTAATTTTATTATTTGCTATGATATTTTTGATACAAGGTTTTTTTGAGGTGTGGTAAGTAACTAAAAGTAAAAAAACACTTAATTATCAATGATTTAATTTACTATTGGCAAACGTGAAGTTAAGAGAAAGAAATTATATAAAGATCGCAAAACAATAATTATATACTCATATCAATTATGGCAGTTCCGAAAAGAAGAAAATCCTCTACTAGAATTAAAAAAGGTCGTGGACCAAAAAGTTGAAGTTTTCAGCAAAAAGTTATTAATCAGTCTTTAGTAAAATGTGCTAATTGTCAAAAGACAAAGATTTTTCATCAAATTTGCTCTCACTGTTTAACTTATAAGAAATTAACCTTTGCAAAAAAGGTCGATAACTAAAAATTTAAAAAAAAAGAAAAATATCGGATGTTGAAGTTAAAAAGTTTTTAATGTTTCCCCGCTTTACCGTGCTGACCAATTTGCCGGGTAGGAGCAAACTCACCCAGTTTGAACCCTACCATATCTTGGGTAACTTGCCGGCTAACAAATTTTTTACCATTATGAATAAGTAAGGTGTGACCAATCATTTCCGGACTGATAACCGAACTGCGGGCTCAGGTTTTAATGGCTGTTTTTTTATTTTCTTGGTTAGCTTTTTCTATTTTTTTTAGTAATTTGGGGTTGATAAACAACGGTTTTTTTAAGGAACGAGACATTTTTTATTTAATTTTATAATTATTTTACTATTTTAGATCAAGTTGTAAAATACTTTTAATGTTATTAATCTTTATCGCCTGTAAGTAATAAAAGCAACTTAAAAATTGATAGCAAAAAAATTAAAGATATGAAAATCCAAAAAACAAAAAATGAAATTCTTCTTGACCTCTTTGAAAGAAAAGACTTAATAATCGAGGATAAAATAGATTGTCTGCGAGAACACCAAGAATGAGTAATGAATGCACCTTACAAAATTATGACCTTGGTAACAATATCTATGATTTTAGAAAAAGTCATTAGTTCTTTGCCGAAGGAAAAATGGTGAGGAAATTTAATTTATAAAGTAGTGATTATTTTTTTTCTTTGTATAATATTTTTCTTCATGGTAAGAATATTTGGAACTTTTTCTTATAACCACTCAAAAATTCCTCACCTTAACAACCAAATTTACCGCACTAACCTGAAAATTAAAGAAATACTGGCTCAATTACAGGAAAAAGACAAAAAAGAAGAATAAAAAAGGTTATGAATTTGACTGAAAAAATAAAAGAACTGGCGGAAAAAGTTCAATTAGAAATAAAAGATGAAGAAATGCCGGTTTATTTGGAAACAATAATCCAATTAGACAAATTACTAGTGGATTTTCAACAAGTAAAATTACCTAAAAAAACCAAGCCTTTGACAAGAATTAATACTGGTTATTTTACCAAAAAAGAACTTGAAGAATTGACTAAGAAATTTTCTAAAAAAGAGTTGGCTGATTTTGGGCTGCCTTCTTATATTGTATTTAAAGAAAAATAGTTCAAATCTATTAACAGAGAAACGTAATTTTTTTGAACGCTTTGCTTAATAAAAAACAATATTCTATATGAGTAATATGAGTGATTTCCGCCACCTTTTTCCTATTTTTGAGCAGCACAAAAATCTGGTTTATTTGGATAGTGCCGCTACTAGTCTAAAACCTCAATCAGTCATTGAGGCTATTAGCGATTACTATCAAAAATGTTCTATCAATTTTCATAGCAAAGGCAATAATTCTTTATTCAAAGAAGTATGGAAAACTATTCGCGAAACTCGCCGACTAGTGGCTCAAAAAATTAATGCCCAACCGGAAGAAATTAGTTTCGTTTCCTCAGCGACTTATGCCTTCAATATTTTGGCTTTGTCTTGTCAAAAGTTTCTAAAAACGGGGAACAAAATTTTTCTCACTCATTTAGAACATAGTTCTAATCTTTACCCGTGGCAAGCGATAGCCCAAAAGAAGGGGTTGGAAGTAGAATTTTTACCCCTAAATGAAAATTTAATCATTGACATTGGCCAATTACCAAATTACATTGACAAAAAAACCCAAATAGTCAGTTTTTTTCATGTTAGCAATAGTTTAGGAACAATTAATCCAGTAGCAGAAATTACTCGCCAAATTAAACAAATTAATCCCGATTGTCTGGTTATTCTGGATGCTTGCCAAAGTATTATTTACACTTCTGTGGACGTTCGTGAATGAAACATTGATGCTTTGGTCTTTTCTGGGCACAAAGTTTACGGTCCGACTGGAATTGGTGTTCTTTGATTAAAAAAAGAATTGGCTGAAAAATTTCCGCACGTTTTGTGGGGAGGAGGGAAAATGATTGGTCCGCTAACGGAAATTACCAGCCAAGTCTTATTTTCTCCTAATAAATTCGAAGTAGGAACCTTGCCACTGGCTCAAATTTTTGGTCTCGGGTCTAGTTTTGAGTTTTTGAATAAGATAAATTATCTTGATATTTCTCGGCATTATAAAAAACTCTACACTTATGCTCTATCAAAATTAAAAAAAATCAAAAATGTATTCATTTACAACCAAAATTTATCAGCCGCTACTAACATTATTACCTTCAATTTATCAGGTTACCATGCTCACGATGTAGTGGACTATTGTGGGAAAAATAACATTCTTCTGCGGAGTGGGGATTTTTGTTGTCCTTATTTGGCAAAAGTAATTGGCATTAATTCTGCTTTGCGAATTTCTTTTGGCTTATATAACAACTATGCAGATATTGACGAATTAATTAATTGTTTGTGTGAAATAAAAGAAAAACCTTCTTCGGATTTACTAGCATTTTAATATTTGCAATTATGGTATTCAAGATGGGTTTTTCTTATTTTTCTTGTTATTCTAAATAACCAAGCAGTGTTCTGTTTTTTTGTTACTAGAACTTAAATTTGGTGGCGGGGGAAGGAATCGAACCTCCAGTCTGCGGATTATGAGCCCGCTGAGTTAACCATTACTCTACCCCGCGATAGATTTTTTTTGTGAGTGAGAAACTTATTTATATTATTTAACTTTTTAGTTCTTCGTATATACTAGGATTATGCTTTTTTAAGTATTGTAATAACTTCTTTTTATAAGCAATTTTTTTTAATAATGCTCGTTTGGCCGGAATGTCTTTTTTGTTATTAGCCAAATGAATTTTTTCCTGCTCGATTTTTTCTTTCAATAAAACTAGTTGATAAGGAACGGAACCAGTATCTTTTTCGTGCTGACGGTATTTTTTTAACAATTCATTATCTAATGACATATTTAAATAGTTTTAGTTCTTTTAGTTATTAACTTATATTTTTATATTGGTTACAATAAATTTTTTCTTTCGACAAGAATTTTTTTTTCCTACAAAGTTTCTACTAGAAAATATTTTTTTGTTTCTGTTTTCCCCTAAGTTGGAGGAAAATTGATTTAAAGTTCCTAATTTTGTTTGAAACTGGTTTTTCTTCTTGGGTCAGTATCTTTGCTATTTTTCAACTTTTTTGTCTTTTGTAATCAATTTTCTACTCCGATACCAACCGCTCCAACTACTAATGTTCCTGCTATAACCAACACTGCTATTTTACTTTTGCTTCAAGGTTTGCTTTCTGGTTGGTCAATATCAGCCTCTTCAGAAGTGTCACTACTTACTTCATCCTCCAATGCAAGGGGATTTACTTCTTTTGTTTGTTCTTCTTCCTTAGGTTCTTCTTTATGAGGAGGGGCGAGGGTATTTTTACGAGCCGCTTGGGCGTCTTTGAGGTTTCGGATATTACGAGGACCAGTTAATTTGTTCGGATCTAAAATATTAATACTGGCAGTTTCCGCTTCTACTTCGGCTTTGTTTCTAGCTCTGTTAATTCGGTTCTGAATGCCATCATATCTTCAATTTTCTGCGGCAATTTCGTCTGCCTGGCGAGTTCGGCGATAATTGTTTAGGACATTTCGTTCGTTAAAGTTATAATTTTTTCCTTCGTAAACAAGCGAACCCTCTTGGTTTAGTTCATTAGCTTTTATTCCGGCTCGGTAAATCTCAGCGGCTCGCTGACCCGTGTTAATTTTTCCATAGTAAGCCATGATTTCTTTCACGGGAATATCATTTACATTTATTTCTTGCGCAAATTCAGTAAAGAATTCGTCTTTGTCTCCGATACAATCACTAACTATTTGCTGAATTTTTTCTTGCCGATTATTTAATTCATCAAAATTTTTAGCAGTTCTTAAATATTCTTCTCAATTATTAATATTGAGATTAATTGACAATTGACTTGCGAGTTCTTCTTCTGTTATCAGAGAGTTTTTTCTTTTTATTTCATTGATTATCAATTCTTTTTTGCTGGTTTTCATGCTGATTCATTTACCAAGATACCGGGCTTGACCTGAGTGGTGCGTATCGTTTTTAGCAGCAGCTTCGTTTTCTGCATTTCAACAATTATACGAGTATTCGCAAGCCTCTGACGGAGGATAACCCTTTTGGCGTCATTTTTCTGCTTTGCTCCTATTATCTTCACTATCTGGAAGATAATCAAAACTTAGGTGTTTTGCTCCAAATTCTGTTCAAAAATTTTCTTTGTCTAAATCGTCTTTTTTTAGTTCGATAAGTAATTCCCGAAGAGAATCGAGTTCATCACCGCCTCATCCATAACTACGGTAATTGTATCTTCCACCTTTCGTTATTTCAATCTCTCCTATTCCATCATCGGGGCTATTAATAGTTAAATCAGTTCAGCCATTACCTCAGGCTATATCGGCTTCACTATCTGCTTTTCCTGGCAAATTTGCAACTGGGTTTAAACCACTTTCTATTCAGGCTGTTTTTTTGGCGGTGGTGTTAATTGCTGGGTGAATTTGGAAAAAGCGTCTTCAGAACTCCTGAATTTCCCGAATCTTATTTTCTTTTCTTTCAGTTATCCTATTTTTTAATAGTGTTGGTAGTTCATCTGGCACCTTGATATTTTGCATTTTTACAGGATTTTTAACATTATTAATTCTGTTAGTTAAATCTAAGAAAGTTTGTGTCTCTAAGTAACTTACTTCGAATAATCTTATTCTCAAAAAATTCCTCCTAGTTTCTCCCGCAATTATTTCTTCGTAAAAGTAATCAATTTCTCCATGGCGGGAATTTTCCACCGCTATATTGGGGTCAATTAAATACTCGTGCCAACCATTTTGTCAGGCTAGTTCGGTTTGCGGCAAAATTTCTGGTCGGTTACTTGTTGGCAAAAGTTCGGTTTGTTTTCATTTTTTTTGGTGATTTTCGTTTGTAATATCTTTTTCAGCAAAAAACTTGTTCCAGGCTACAATTTTCGGAAGTTCTTTTATAATTGCTAAAATTTCATTTTTTCTTGTTGTTTGGTGATTTTGGTTTTCAAATAAGCAATATCAGTCATTTTCAGGTCCGGGTCGTAATTGCAGTTCATTAGTTAATTCCTTATCAGTAAGTCCTCGGGTTAATAGTTCTTTTTTCAGGTCACGAATATACTTCAAATTTTGTTTTTTGTTTCGCTGTGAAGAAAAAGTTGCTGAATTTTCTAGTTGCAGTTGAATAATGTTTTCATCACTTAATTCTTCGCTTTTTAATTCTTCGAGTTGGTTAGCTTTTTTAACTAACTTTCATAAATTTTTATATTTATCTAAGTCAATTAGGCGTTGGGGCAAAGAATTATTGCCAGCGTTTTTTTTGGTGCTAGGAATGTTTGTTGAAGTGCTTGCTTCGGGTGCTTGGTTTTCAGAAATGTTAGTCGCTTCATTCTCGTCTAGGACTGGTGTTTGAGAAGTTTTTTGATTGTTCTTTGTGACATCACTACTTTTGACTGATTCCGGAGTCTCTTTTTTGTCGTCTACAAAATTTTTGTCACTAGTTCTTTCCTCGGTTTTTGCTAAATCTGGTTGTTGAGGAAACAAATCGGTAAAAACTGTATTTTCCCCTAATGCTTCTACTTTGGTTGTCACTTCCTCTTTCAATAACTGAGCGGAATTTTCTAAAATTTCCTGGGCTTCAGCGGGTTGTCCACTACCGCCCTTTAAATGCCCAACGTAATAAAAAACAGCATCGACTACTTGGGCTAGTTTTTTTTCAACTTTCTCTTGGCTATCCAGTGCGTTTAACTCTGCTTCCGAATAATCAATTTCACCTCGTAAGACTTTATTTTTAGCTGTTTTTAAACTGTTTGGGGAGTGAAATTTTTCAACCGAGAGAGAAGAATAATCTCCGTGTTTAATCTTGGCTGCCTCTACTATTAAGTTGTTTAGATAGTTGAGGGTGGCTTGTTTTTCCGGACTAATGGGTTCTGAGTCGGTTGAATTTTCTCGTGGTTTGTTTTTTTCTGAATTGTAATTTTTTAGCCATTCTCGGGCATTATTTCCATATTGAGTTGCAAGTTCATATTTTGTCTCAGACCAAGACCGAAAAAGAGAAAAAATTAAACCTTCTTCTCATTCTTTTTCTCTTGGTTCATTTGCTAATTTTTGGGTTTCTTCTCATGCTTCAGCCACAGCTTCTTCTCTATGATGAAAAAAATTTTCTTTTATTTCTAAAATCTTGGTTAAAAAATGTAATTTTTTATCTTCAGCTTCTCTTCTCAAGTGCTTTGGTATAGTTTTTCTGTATTCGTTTTCTTCTGTAATATCGGCAATAATTTCTACTTGCTTGCTAATTCTCTTTAATTCTAATTCTTCAATTAATGAAGAGGAATTTTCTCTTTGCAATTTATGTTCCTTTTTTCTTTTTTTAACACCATAATCACTAGCAAAATCAATAGAATTATTAGTAGTAATATATTGACTAGGTTTAAATCGGAAAATTTTTCAACACTCTTCAGCATTTTTTAATTCTGATGGTGTCGCATCATTTTTTGCCATCAATTGTTGAGTATAAGCAATTAATTTATCTTCCATTTCTCCCCTTTTTCAACATCCTTTTTCTATTCAACTCATCAACTCCATAAAGATTTTTGGGTTATTAATTTGCCAGGCTTTTTTTTTGGCAGCGTCAACGCTAGTTTCTGCTCTATACTTATCTAATTCCTTTAAAAATGTTTTAATTCCTTCTCTACTTTTTGCGTTATTTTCTCAATGAGTTCTTAATAAACTAAAAACGTCGTTAATTAATTTTTCTAGTTCTTTTTTTGCCTGTAAAAAAGGCTTTTCTTCCATTATAGTTTCTATTTCAGTCAGGTAATTTTCGTATACTGCTTTTTGTAGTGCTTGGTCCTCCTCCTTGTCTGCTTCGACAAATTTTTCAATTTCTGCTAATTCTTTTTCTTTGATTAATAAAGTTAATTTTTTGCTTTGAGATATTATTTCCTTTCTTTTTTTCTCAATTTCCCTTTTTAATAATTCACTAAATTCGTCTATCAACGCTTCCTCCTCCGTTTTTTCTTCTTTCTCTTCAAGATTAGCACAAATCTCTCGGATGATCGTCTCAAAATTTTGAAGATTTATCTGAGAATATTTTTCATTTAATCGATATTCTCTTTTGCCTTCTTCTCTTCTTGAAAAAGTTGGAAGAGGGTAACACGAAGATAAAAATTCTTTCTTCACTAAAGGCTCTTCTTTCATTTTTAGGTTGATTTTCTCTAAAAAATCGCTAATAAGTTGTTTTTTTTTAAGAGAATAATTAACTTTACACAAAAAATCATCACAATCAGTAGCTAAACCAGATTTTGTATTGTCGATAATGGCTTTTTGGGATAATTTATTGATAATTAAATCAACTTTGTTCTTCCATTTAGTTAAAAAATCGTTATTCGGATTAAGTTCTATAATTTCTTCCTCTTCTATTCCCACATTTTGTAAGTAGTCTTCTGTGAATTGCTTGATTTTCTTAGCATAGTCTAAGTCAATTAGTTCTTGATTTTCCCCCACTTCTTCATATTTTCCAATATAAAGATCGTATTTTTTTCTTTCTGTTGTTTTAGATAAAACTTCATAAGCTTCAAGAACGTTGTTTAATTTTTTTTCTTCTTCTTCGGTTTGTTCTCGCCCAATTTTGTCTGGATGTAGTTGTAAAGATAATTGTTTATAACTCCTTTTTATTTGCGAGTTAGTAGCATTCTTGTCTATTTCTAATATTTGGTAATAGTCTTTTCTTGGCATGTTTTTTTTCCACTTATCACTCCAAAATAATCAATTTTTTGTTTGACTTTTTTTAGAATGGTGTTTTTTTAATTATGTTTTATTAAAGAACTCTCTCTCTCTCTCTCTCTAACTAGTCCTCGTTTTTAAGGGCTTAGTGCCTCAATTTTCAGATAATCAGGGTAAGAGTTAGCAATGTTTTTCAATTGGTAAATCATTAGTCGTAAGCATTAATTACAGATAGAACTCATGAAAAGCGATGAGACACTCAAAAAAAGAGCAGTCACAGGTTTCAGTGAATAGTTAAAAGAGAAAAAAACTAACTTATGGAAATAGTTCAAAAAAACAAACTAGAAAGAAATTTACGTTTTTATTGCCAAAAATGTAAAATTGTTTACCAACTTATTGAAACTCAAGTTGGGACAGAATGATAATTGTTCGGCTAACTGCTTGAAAAAATGACAGGAGATTTTACAAGATCATTATCAAGAAAAAATAATGGCTCATATCACCAAACAAGAAGAAGAAAGGCAGACTAAAGAAAAAGAAGAAGATCACGATTACTAGGATTATGTTACAAAAATTCGTTAAATGACTTAAAAATGAAAATTTAGCAGCCAAAACTATTCGGTGTTATACTGAGGGAATTAAGCGTTTTGGAGTTAGTAATTCTTTCAACAGCAACAGCGTTAAAAATTTTTTTCAAGAAAAAGTGTAAGGTTTGGCAGTTAATACCATTATGGGTTATAGAACTGCTTTGAAAAGTTATGCTAAATTTCAAAAGAAAAGAATTGATTGAGAAAAGATTACTAAACTTATTCCGAAGCAACAAGTTAGATTTTTCATTACTATCGGGCAACAAGGCAAAAGAGTGACTTATACATAGTTGACAGGAAATCCAATTAAAAATCGCTAAACCGCTCCAAAAAGAGATAAGTAACATTATAGTCAGAAACTAGTTTTAACTAATTACTCTAACTTTTATTTAAGGTTTGTTAAAAAAGAATTTTGCATTATAAATATTCAAAAATGTTGTTTCTCTTCTTTTTACTTGTTTCCTCAATTTCGATTGTCTGTTCGATTGCTCTTTCAAAAACTTCCCAGTCATTTTCTCTTTTATCTGAATTTTTTTTCTTGTTTAATTTTTTACGAGAAAAATCGAGATTTTCAAACATGCTGTTAATAGTGGCTCCTACAAACCCCTTATTTCTAATTTTTTCAAAAATTTTTTCCGCTAGTTCTGGTTCCAAGTTGTCAGGAATTTTCTCCTTGTGCTTTTTGACATAAATATCGATTATAGCTTTTAAATCATCTCCTTTCGGTTCACCAATGAAGTATTTTTCTTCTAGTCTCCCCGCCCTGAGAGCAGCTGGGTCAAATCAACCCAAATTATTAGTAGTTGTTATAAAAATAACATCTTTGAACTTTTCGTGGTCATCTCCATCCATTATATCTTTGAATTCTGTGCCGCCGACGCCGCCCCCACTAAGATCACTAAGACTCATTCCAGCCAGTTTGGCATCCGAGTCCATCATGTCTATCTCGTCAATAAACACTACTACTCTTCGCTTTTTTTGTTTTGAATATTTTGCAGCGGCTTCCAGCAGAGAATAAAGTTTATTCTTGCTGGCCCCAAATTGCTGAGCCACCAATCCAGAATTGATTTTACTACCCGATACCTTAAAAAAGGTAAGGCCAGCTTCTTTCGCAAATGCCTTAGCCATCATAGTTTTGCCAGTGCCAGGCGGCCCGTAAAGCACAAATCCGC